TTCTTCTTCTTCTTTACCTTACTTCATCATTCACATAGACGCTCATCACACTCGGCCTCGTTTCGAATAACATCGGTGATCAAGGAACACAATATCTTGCCAATGCTCTACAAATCAACAAAGTAACAGCAATACTTGTTCTTCTTCCTCTTCACTTCACTTAATCACTCACATGCCTCTCATACAGACACTAACCACACTCAACCTTTATGGCAATAGCATCGGTGATCAAGAAGCACAAGCTCTTGCAAATGCTCTACAAATCAACAAAGTAACAAAAATATCTGTTCCTCTTCCTCCTCATTATACTTAATCATTCGCATATCTCTTACACAGACACTCATCACACTAGACCTCGGACATAATGAAATCCGTGATCTAGGTGCACAAGACTTGGCTAATGCTCTACAAATCAACAAAGTAGCAATAACACTTATTCTTTTTCTTCTTCACTTCACCTTATCATTCACACAGACACTCACCACACTAAACCTCTTATACAATCGAATCGGTGATGATGTAAAAAGGCAATTCCAGAAAATATGCGAAAAAAATATAGGACTGAAAATAATTTGGTAAAAATCATCAATAACGGTAGCAACCATCGACAAGAATGCTTTTATTTTTAATTTTTGTAAGATTTTTTATTGATTCAACAAATAAATGTGATATTTTGCAGAAGTAGGAGATTTTTCCTTGTATCCAGTGGCGGCGGAGCGTGGAGGCTCAAGAGGCTTAAGCCTCACTTAGTTTTCAGCCCTTGAGGCTCAGCTTCATTTGTTTTCAGATTGAATATTATCTTTTATTATTAGAATTTGTTGTGTTCGGCATCTAACATAACTAGATATATATTCTGACATATCTATCTTTTAATGCGGTTCACCTATTTTTTATATGCTATTCTTTTCTCTGTTTTTTATCGCATAGTTATCGCATACAGCTTATATATATCATGTATGTTTTCCTTTTTTTTTACTTGGATATTTCTCCTCTTTTCTTACATATTTTCTTGTGCGCATGTTTAGTTCTTCCTCGTTTCGTCTATATCTGTTTTATTCCCAGAACGTTTGGTTTTTTTCAAGCGCATATACACATACACATATATATATATATATATATATATTATTTCAGCAATAAAGAAGTAGCTCAGTAGTGATCGGATTGATTTATATCCTCTTCACAGTGTATTTAATGGCTGAAAAACGGCCAGATATTCATCCATTTTTCATTTTGAAACATATACAAAGAAACGTCTCTGTTCAACTTTCGCATCGAAGAACGAACAGAGAAAGTTATTTTTTGGTACGTTCTGATTTGTTTTATTTTCACGATGATCGGTGTAGTTTTTATTGAGATTTAATAAAAAGAAGACGTATATTTTGCTTCATGTTTTAATAAAATTCCACAGTAGAAAAAAATATTGTGAGTCTCACTTAGGTTAATGGCGCTCCGCCGCCCCTGTGTAGTATATATGTAAACGGTTATTAAGAAGAATGATCTTCTTGAATTATTTTCTCAGAAATTATAATAAACGTATTTTCAACTGAAAAAGAAAAATTGTTTGCGATTCATAATTATCAGATATCATTATGAGGTTCGGTGTGAGTGAGAATATTAAATCTACTCGCTCACTCACATCTACATCCATATCCTCAAAATATATCTTTTTATGTTCAATATATTTGAAATGAGTCTATTTAACAATCGAGTCATGATCCACGTATCGTTTATCTTTTTCCAACAACAGATCCAGAAACAAATTCAGATTGTGAGTTATTCCCTATTTGTATCGTAATTGTTATTAGGCATATTTCTTTGTTTATAGTAGTCCAAGAATTGGCCAAAATATACAAAACCAATTATATAAGCATTATACAAGGTTCTGAATCCATCGTTAGTATATTCCCAGGACGATGGTTCCTGAAGCAGGATTCCATGAAATCTCCGGAATACCACGAAACCGGCCGTTTCCGTGCCGGATTATTCAACCTGGATTGAAGTAAGATTTCGAGATGATTATTGATATATAAACATATTTTTATATAGATTTAAGAACAACAAGAACGACAACAAAGCCAGAATAATAATCAACATGTCTGATGAAGAAAGAGATTTGGTCGACTAACCAAAATTATTTACATCTGCATAAAGACTATATGTAGAATTAGAGATTGTAGTTAATTTAAGTACTTGGGACTTACTTGGACTAGCAAAATGTCACTGAAACCAAAAGTCGATCAACGCCTATTGAAAGTTGAAAAAGCACTTGGAAAGTTAAAACGGTTGAGAACAAGTAGACAAATCTCAACTCAAGTACTAAGACAGTGCTTTTTTGGATATGTTTTTGTTAACGTCAACGATTGTTATATCATAACGCTATCCTATATATATATATATCTGTTTTCTCTTTCTCTATTATTGTCTTTATTTTGTTTCTATTTCTCTTCATATCTTTGTTATATATAAAGAGTTGTTTTCTTCATTTAAAACCAGGATTTCTCGTTTTTCCTATTTTTTGTCTTTGTTTATATTCAATAAACATAGTCTTTATCCGTTATATATTTACAGGACACAGTAGGCTTGATTTTCCCCAGGGAGATTTCACTTTAACCTTACAACTATCTTGTAGGTTAAAGTACATTTATACATCTTAGAATGAGAACCTCACCTGACTTGGATCTTCCTTTTCTACCGAAAACTCAATGAGAAGCTTTGGACAGAAAGTTCTGAGTAGCGATTAGACTGGTCCATAGATGCCCATATGTATCGGCAACCGATCTATTTACAGTAACTAAAGAAAAAGCATTGGAGTTCCATGAACAATGATACGTAAAGAAGAGAATCGAAGAATTATATAAAACTGATTTAGGAAGATCATACTCTCTTTACGATCTATTTTACTGGGATAAATTCAAAAAGGAAAAAAATGATTCATTAGAACACTATTTCAAACTGAGAAGAGTGAATAAGTTAATAAATAGGCATGAATCGCTGTTGATCAAATGGATTAACATCGTGGAACAGGCAGCAATCAATATCAATCCATGTGGATAAAGTATTAATGAAGGAAAACACAGATAAGACACAATGAACCGATAAAATGTTCTTTCCCCTTTCTTCCATCTTTCTTATGTATGTTAGCACTCAAGAGTGTAATATTTATAATAAACGCATAAATCCAAAAAAAAAATTAATAATGATAAGACAATAGAGCATCTGTCCGATAACAATGACAGCAGTAGCACAAAATTGCTTTCCATCGAATTGAGTTTCTTATTCTAAATTTAGACATCTTAAACATAAAATAATGATATTTCTTGAATTACTCTGTTAGTTTAAGATTAAGATGGGGCGTGGGTCTCTATGAACAGAAGGGATACCCACACCCTCAAATTCATGACCGTATTTAAATCTTACGCGCACATGCACGTCTCAGTCTCAGATAATATGATGTTCACAATTAAAATAAAGGAAAATAATCTGTAGTTTTCTTTCAATTAACGACAGCGAATTGTTCTGATAAATTATTTTTATAGTATTTTATATTCTTTTTTAGAAATAATTATTTACATGTTGATGATAAGATGATGATCTATTAATTAAATGTTTATTTTTTGTTAATATATTACATATACGTAAAATATAAGATTTCATTTCGATAAGCATTAATTTTAAATTTCTATATAATTGATAATCAAGATTAGAAATTAAATGATAATTATCATCTAATTGAGGTCGTTTAAATAATTCTTTATTAGCTACAGCACGTTGTTCACGATAATCAACAATTTGACCCATATATGTAACACAATTTGCTTTCATTAAAGCTATTTCATCAAGAATTTCATTTTGTACAACAATATGAAAATCATCACTTTCACTATAGGCTGGAATTTCTAATTCAAGCCATAATGTTAAATATTCAACTATTTCAATAAAATTACGTAAATGATTTTGAACAGAATAAATAATTGTATTCAATTGATTATTTGATGAAGTAGAATTTTCATGATTAATACATTCATTATTAGAAAATAGATCACTTTTTAGAAAATTTTCTATTTCATATGCATGATCAACAAGAATTGATACTGATTTTTCTGCTTGTTGTTTTATATTTATATAAAGTTCTGTAAATAGATTTTTATTTGTATCAGCATCCATAGATTTTATTTATTGTTCTTTACAATATGAATATAAGAACAAAAAAGAAGAAATGACTACTAAATTTATATATATATTTAAATATAGCGCCAATTTGTTTGACGGAAAACTGTATTTTATTAGAATTTAAAAGAAGAAAAATGTCTGACTCCATCTGCTTAAAATATAAAATTCTATAATAATTAACAGTGTCATCTTCAGCAAAAATAGTCGATGAAATATATATATATATATATTATTTTATCTCGTTCTTCTATTCATTTGTTTTCTTCTCTTCAATAGTACTATATATCGATGTGCTAAGTTAGCTATTGTTCTTTATTATTTATCTTTGACATAGAATAAATATCGATTCTTCTTCAAGTGACTTTCTATTTGATTTTCAAAGATAATAAAATGAATGATGATGCAGCTCGTCTGGAAAGTCTTGGATATAAACAAGAATTAACTCGTACTTTAAATCGTTTAACGAATTATGGATTCACTTTATCAGCTATTAGTATAACATCAGGTGTTACATCTATGTTTGCTTATGGAATGACAACTGGTGGCCCGATTATCATGGTCTGGGGATGGATTTTAGTTTCAATATTTACTCTTTGTGTTAGTCTTGGAATGGCAGAAATTTGTTCATCTTATCCAACTGCAGGTGGTCTTTATTTTTGGTCAGCTAATCTTCTTCCTAATCAATATAAACCAATGGTTAGTTGGTATACTGCATGGTTTAATATAATGGGACAATTAGCAGGGATAGTTTCTGTAGATTTTGGTCTTTCAATGCTTATTGGAAGTGTTATTTCAATTGGTATTGGTGAATGGTCTCCTCGTCCATGGCATATTCTCTTAATTCATTTATGTGTCGTTATAAGTCATGGTCTATTCAATTCTCTGGGTCGAACAGTTCTACTTTGGACAACTCATATATCTACTTGGTGGCAATTACTTGCACCTATTATTATTTGTATTGCTCTATTCGCAACAGGAAAAGGACAACATGAAACACCACAATTTGTCTTTACAAGTTTTATAAATCACACAGGATGGACAAGTACAGTAAGTAAACTTTTTAAGAATAATAAAATAATGAAACATTTGTTTTTTTTTATAAAAGGTTTATGTACTTCTGATTGGCCTTTTACAAGCTCAATATTGCTTATTGGGTTATGATTCTGCAGCACATATGAGTGAAGAAACAAAAAAAGCTGATATCGCAGGACCGATGGGGATGATCGGTGCTGTTCTTGGTTCATCTATTTTCGGCTGGATTTTTGTTGTTTCACTTTTAACAAGTATAAGTGATTATGAAACAACACTTAAAACTAAGACTGGATTTCCTGTAACACAAATCTTAATGGATAATTTTGGTCGTCAATGGACACTTGTATTAATGTGTATGCTATTAATAGCTTGTTGGTTCTGTGGTCTTGCTACAGTAACTGTAAGTTCAAGATTAATTTATGCATTTAGTCGAGATAATGGAATGGTAAGTGAAGTTTTATTTTTTTACATACACTTTTATTTTTTCTGAGTTTTAGCCATGGAGCCATTTGTGGCTTAAAATACATCCTCGTCTAGCATGTCCACTCAATGCTGTCTGGCTTTCATGTGCAATTGGTTTCCTTCTAGGTTTACCATATTTAATTAATTCGACAGCATATTATGCTGTAATTAGTTTGTGTACAATTTGTCTCTATGTTGCTTATGGTTTACCTATATTCTGCAAACTTATTTCGCCTGTTCCATTTCCTCGTGGTCGTTTTCATCTTGGTCGATTTTCATCATATATAAATATAATTGCTATCATGTGGGTAATGTTAATCGTAGTTCTATTTGTTCTACCTCCTGAATATCCAGTGACAGCTACTAATATGAATTATGCATCAGTTGGCTTTGGAACATTACTCATTGTTACTTCACTCACATATATGTTCTCGGCTCGATATTGGTTTAAAGGTCCTCATACTAATAGCTTAGCTGACAGTGAATTAAAATTAGCAACAAACTTGCCAAATTAATTTATATTTTAATTATGGACTGAACAAATGTAAAAATTTTTAAAAATTGTAGCCTGTAGAAATAATTTTAGATTTAATACCTTTGTATTTCTAAATTTTTTCAAATGTCTTGTTAATAAACATAATTTTTTTCAAAATAAGAACCTTTTCTATTATACTTTGGATGTGATATTACTTGTTGATGTACTTCAATGAAATATTCTTGAGAGTGAATATTAGACATGATTCATACGTACATATCCAAAATGTTTACAGATATTTAAAAGAATTTCCATCACATCTTGAGGGTGGCTGTGAGAGCGGACATTTTATTTCAATCACACTTACACCCTTATTATCTTATATTTATATGGAGTTCTATAAAAAATATTCTGATTTTTGTCAAGATCCACAGATTTATTTATTTTTTTACTTTAACTTTACAATATGAACATAAGAACAAATGATTACTAAGTTTATATCTAAATGTAGCACCAACTATTTTTTTTCTCTCTTTTTTTCTATTGAATTATTTGTGGTGTTTGATTTTCAAATGAGATTTCATGACATTCAAGTGTATTTAAATTTAATGCAACACACGAGTTTGATTGTGCAAAACATGGAATGCAAATAAGACGAACTTCAATATTGTTTGGTCCTAAAATAGATGAATTATAAAATTTTAGCATGGTTGCACTTCAACAGAGATAAATCATTTACCTTTAAAAAGACGAGTTCCAAATTTTGGTTGATTTCCTGCAAAGAAAACATGTGGTGTATCATTAATAATAAATGGATCATTTTTAACATATGGATAACAACCTAAAATATTCAAATTATTTATCTATTAAAGTTTCAGCAAATATTTTCTCTTACTTAATGTATCAGGACATGTTGGTGCAATTACACCCCAATCAAGACATTTTTCAAGTATCTGAACACGATCGTCAATTGTTGATTGAAGATCAATATCATCAACATTTTGTCCTGATGTACCGAGTAAACTATTTTGACACATAACATTCATAATATTAATAAAAATAATTTCTTACCGAATATCACCAATTTGAAAATCATATGGATTTGTAAGACAATGAGTTGATTTTTGTTTACTTGATGATGGAAACATACATGGATGTAATGGTTGTTGTGGTAACATATGACAACTAAAATGATGTTTTTATTTTTTCAAAGAAATGTTTTCATTTTTCTATTTACCTTGGATCATTTACACCAGGCATTATATCAATATCAGTAATTGCCTAATCGATCAAATAAATAAAAATTTTAAAATAGAAAAAAAAACAATCAACATACAGCAATTTTATTAAATAATTCATCGATACTATGCATTGCTTCAACACTACTTGCTGTCATTTTTCGTGTTAAATATTTTGCCTAAATGAACTTTTATGTAAAACATATATTCGATTATAAGAAACAGAAACTAACTTGATTTGTCGTTTCTTTCAATCGATTTGAACTTTCTATTAAATTTCCAGCAACAACAAATCGAATAATATTACTTAAAATATTCTGTATCTGTTTTGATTGAATATTTGATGATTGTGTCAATGAATTAACAAGATATTCAAGTTGATTAAATATTATCGAAGTTTCCGATAAAAGAAAACCTGATGCTAATAAAATATATCTACAAAAAGAAAAAAAGGAATGTTTCAAAGAATTCGTTAATCTTACCGATCGTCTTTTATTGGTGATAATTGTTTTGGAATTGAAAGATCTTTGAAACAATAATCTTTAACAATAAATACACCTTTTTCATCTTCATAACCACGAATTGCCATGACAATACCTGATAATTAAAATTATTTACACAATTTCAGTCTAAGTCTTAATGTTATTTACCAGTAACAAAGTGATTGACATCAATTTTACCATTAAGTTCAATTCTTTGTGTTTCTTCTTCAAGAATTAATTTATCAGTTGGATCAACATAACGATTACGAGGTGGTTGTAAACTAAACCCATTCTAACAAAACACGAAGCGAATATTTTTGATTTATTACGATTAAACAAAAAAAAACAGATTATTTACTTCAGTTGCTATTTGTTTGACAATACTTGGCTTTAAAATCATTTGTTTAAATAGAATACCAACAAGAATACATTCCTCATCTGGTATAATATCATTCATTCTTTTAATTGGAATTTTTCTATCTAAAATTTCAAAAGACAATCATATTTATGTTATTTATTAGTTGTAACAACAACAAACCCCAACGATTTTCAGCTGCTTTTGTAACTATTTTACGTAATGATCCTAGACGTTCAGCATAAAGATGAGCATATTGTACTTCAAAATTACGATTTGTTAATAAAAATCGATCAGATAAATTAATCCATTCAGTTTCACTTGTTGGTTGTCGTTGAATTGTTGGACATACTGCAACTGTAGGTTTTTTTGGTGAAAGAATTAATTGTGCTGATGGTATTGGTGCAGGTGCTGGTCCTGGTGGTGGTGAAGATGATGGCATTTTTAAGATTTCTTCTTCATTTTCTTTCTTGATTTCTTTTGTTTCAACAATTGATGATGATTTTGGTTTAGATACCGATGAATCATTAGTTGATGTTTGTCCAGGATTTTTGAAAAATGATGTAATTGATTTCTGATTTTTATTAGTTTTCGACATGATTAATATAATACAATATATCTTAAAATAATCGAAATAAAACCATCGGTTAGTACATACTAATATAGCGGTTATATTAAAGATAAAAAATAAGTATAAAATAACACTGTTAAAAAAATACAAAACTATAAGGATGTAGATTTTTTCAATTCAACACGTTGCTCAACAACACTTAGCGATGATGCAAGTACTCGTCCAACTTTTGGTGACATTGCTATCCATTGATCACTTCCCTATAATTATAAGAATAAACAACCAATTACATATATATATATGTTAGAATGAGCAGAGCAAAAAATGTTTTTGTTAACATATAGCCCGATTAATATACATTTTAGTTTATTGAAATGTTTACAACGTAGAATAAATTAAACGAACACAAATGAGATCATCGAAAAATCTAACTGAAACGCGCTATCGACACTGCATTATATGAAACTGTAACGAAAAAACAAATAACATGAAAATAGTAATGAGCATCTGTTCTATATGTTAATATAAGCATAAAGAGTCAGAGAGTGCCAACTGTTCATGGTAAAGAGTATGAGATATGTATATATACACACATGTAACATAAATAATCAAACATATATCTATATATTATGAATCATTTTTCACAATGTACCTTGGGTATAGCATATCCTTTTGCTATACAGAATTCTTTAAAACCACAACGAACAATGGAACAAATATGTTGATCACGAATTTTACAATATAGACGAATATTACGTTCACGAAATGTTTGTGGTAAAAGTGTTGAAACCTAACAAGAAAATAAAGAACATTTTCAAAATATAAAAGTACAATATATCAAACTTGTTCTTTTGAAATTCTTGTTGCTTTATTTGGACATACTTTTGTATAAAACCACATATTTTGAAGTGGATCTTCACCTCGATCACCACATGTTAATTCAACTGTCTACAAATATTTATCAGATTGAATTAATATAATAAAAAAAGGCATGGATTTAAGTGATCAGTAAATAAAATTAACTTTCAGTTAGTTATACTTTAGGATCAGTCGGTAAATTGAAGTGTACTATTCCGTGACTCTTCTGTGCTATATGTTTTCTTTCTTTTCTTTTCGTACACTGTATAACAGAGATGAATGTAGTTCATGTCGTCCAGTATGAAAGCGATTCATCAAATAAAGAGATTGTTAAAGAAAAAGATGGTATAAATATAAATCAAAATCGAAGAAGAAGGGAATGAGTATGACTGTGGATGAGCGTTACTTTCCCACCCACACCCTCAAAATGGTTTTCGTTTTAGTATATACTTCTGAACAATTAAATACTCACTTTTTTTGGAATATTACCACTTCTAAATAGTATAATAAAATAAAGTTGTTCATAACATCAAACTCTATGAAACAATGTCAATATTAATATTAATAACTACTGATGCTGACTAAGATCAATTTATAATTACGTAAGATAATAGCTTTACTAATTAATCATGCATTTCTAATATTCGACTAAGCAGCTAATGATGTATATACTTATATCTCTATATTAGCCATAAGTATTGAGATTTAAGCCTAGTCTATATACTTACCAGTATAACAAGATCATTTGGTGTAATATGACAGTCACTTTCATCGAAATGACAATATTTAATAATATCTTGACAAGCACTTTTGCATGCTTTCTAAAAGAAATCGATTATTCGTTAGACCATTTCTACAATTATTATTAACCTTTTTAAAATCCGCTGTCCATGATACATGTGTATCTCCAATATATCGATAAATTTCTAAAAGAAAAAAATAAAACATTATTTTACTAATATTAAATAAACATTATCTACCTCGACGTTCAATTTTATCGATAATTTCTTTGGCTTTATCCATATTTGGATGATGTGAATGTTTTATTAATGTTGTAATATGATCATCGACTTGATTAAATGTAAACATATCATCAACAGTAGAAGCAAGACGAATATCACATTTTCTAATAGAATATTAAATATAAAAAACATCAATTCATTTCTTATCATACCCTGATTTACTAGTAAAGAATAAATGATCATTTGCTATAATAAATACTTCTTTAAGCCTAGAAATGAAAATATTCGAAATCATTAAAATATTTCAATAAATTATCTTTACATCAATTCAATGCCTTTAACAACTGGATGTTGATATGCACGTCGATGAAGATCATCTCGAATTCGATAGATTTCATAACATGCTTTCACTTCCTTGAAAAGAAATCAAAATATAATTTTATTTTTATCATAAAAATCAATCTAATTTTACTTTATCACGTAAACATAAATGAAGTTTACCATCATCAACTTTAATTACGCGATAGAATTTAATAAATCGCATATGTTCAAATGAAATTTTTGTTCCCAAATAATATGAATCACGAGCAAAATAATCAAATTTATCAACATCAATGCCAGTCAATTTGTTCGAAACAATCTCATAAAGAAATGATTTGGATATATTTCGACCTTTGTATGGCCAATTCTATACAAAAAATATTCTATCATAATTTTATTTTAAACTATAAACTGACCTGATCATTGTTTTGTTGACCTAATTGACCAAAAATAAGTTCTTTTACAAAAATAATATCGATGTCATTTAGACCAACTTGTTCGAAAAATGGTTTTAATTTATTTGTATTGATTATATATTCAAACATATCAATTGAAGCTTGTTCATGCTGAATGAGAATATATCAATGATTATCCTGTAGAATTATTTATATATCACTTACTTGCCAGTTTATATCTGGACGAAGTTCTGCAATGACTTCTTCAAACATATGAGAAAATGGTCCATGACCTGGAAAGATAAGCATTATTCAAAAACTATTCAAAATTCATTTATAGAACTAACCAAGATCATGACAAAGAGCAGCCATTTGAACACATAAAATATCTTGAGATGTAATATTTAATTCTGGTTGTCGTTGACAAAGATGTGCTAATAATTCTCCAGCAAGATGACATGTTCTACAACAAAAAGTCACATCGAATATTTAATTCAATGAATTCAATTACCCAAGTGAATGTTCAAATCTTTGATGGCAAGCTCCAGGAAAAACTTCATAGGATACACCAAGTTGTTTAAGACGTCGTAGTCTTTGAAATTGTGGTGTATCAATTATTTTAACAAGTAACCAATGTAATTCAATTAAACCATGTATTGGATCATTAAAAATCTATTTGAAAAACGAAAATATTTTTCGTTATATAAGAAATACGACAGAATACTTTTCTTTCGTAAGCAAAACTACTAAAAACAAAGTGAAAAGGAAAAAATATAGTTTTGCTTGTTATTTTCTTATTTTAAATCAACTAACTTTTCTTGATAGGAATCTGTTAATACAGGTGATACTTCAAGATCACTTGTTGTTTCTGATTTATATCGTTTAGGTGATGGTGGTGAATCTTCATAGTCTGTCATAATTATTAGCTATTATTTACATCTGAAGATAACGAATATTTTATTTATATCACAAAATAAATATCTTTTTCTGTCAATGCAAAAAAAATTATAAAAAAAAGGAAAATATTGCAAAATAAATTAATTAATTCGATGATTGCACAAATTGTAAATCAAACCTAAATAAAAATTAGAAAATTATACATATTTATTTTATTTCTATTTTTTACCATTCGTTTATTTCTTCACCTTGACTTCCAAGGTCATTCAATTGAATTGATAACTTAAATAAAAAAATTAATTATTCAGGTTTTTTTTTTAAGATAATTTTTTTTACTTCTCGATCTTGAATTGCTTCTGGATCAGTTTTATTCGATGCAAGAATATATAAAGTTTTCTTTGTCATACTTTCGAATGTTATACAAAATGTTAAAGGTTCTTTCCATGATATAGCTGCATTGTCTACAACAATTCTTGTATGTTTTTCTGTATGATCCGGTAATCCAGTTAATGAAAATGTCAAACACATTTCTGGTGAATGTATTTGTTCGGGTCTTATTAAACCTTCAGCATTAAGGATATGAACAATTAATTTACTTCGTTCATCATCATATCGAATTGATAAATGTAAACGACCAGTTTTTGAATCTGGATGAACAACTGGATCATATTCAGATACACTTTGATGACGTTCAACATCAACATATTCATCAACGATAGAATGTTCTCCCGATTTATTTGCAGCAATACGTGAACGGAAATCTTCATCTTGTAAACGACATAAATCAGATTTTTCTATTACTATTGCACCTGATAATTGTGGTTCATGATTAATAGAATGTCTACGTGTATCAAAATTAATTGTTTCATTCGGTTTACCACGAGGTATTGGTTCATCATTCTCTAAACCTTGCATATTTGATACATTAGGTTCTTTAAATTCTGTTTCCTAAATTACAAGAAGTATTCGCATTAAATATTTCCAAATATAGTAATTTGTCTCACATCATTTTCTCTATGGTTATACCAAGAAGCAACATAGAAAACAATAGTAATGATTGAGCATATTATTACTGCTAAACATACTTCACATATATTTATCGTCATTTTACTTCTTATCTAAAAAAAATAAAGAAAGATTATCAACGACAATATAACGAACAATTACAGCTGCTATTCTGATATATAGAAAACTTTTAATAACAATCTATTGGTTGTTACTTAAAAAATTGACAGATGTCGTTTTAAATTGAATAAAAACGTTTTTTAAAATGAGATTAGTTTTTAAGATTAAATATTAAAAAATTCTTTTCTACAAAGAAATAATTTTTTTCATTTTTGAAAAAAAGGAAAAATTTCATTTTTAAGTGAAGGTTAACGAAATAAATGTGAAGAAATAAACAAGATGACGGCGAATACGAATCGACCTTATTGTCTTTATTATCATTATTATTTTATAAGCTAAAATCTATACAGTAAAAGTTCATCTTGATATATTTTTTTTCTAGATCTTTCTCTACAATGCCAGCTAAGGCAGCTCAACCAAAAAAGACTCAAAAAGAAGCCGCAAGTTCATCTAGCGGTGGTAAAGCTAAAAAGAAGAAGTGGTCGAAAGGAAAAGTTCGCGATAAACTTAACAACATGGTTCGTGACTTTTCTAAAATTATTTATAGATCGATATATATAGACATTAAACCTATTATTTTAGGTTTTATTCGATAAACCATCATATGACAAATGTGTCAAAGATTTACCACAATATAAATTAATTACACCAGCTATTGTCTGTGAACGTTTTAAAGTTCGTGGTTCACTCGCTCGTGCTATCATTCGTGAACTCGTTCGTAAAGGTCTTGTTCGACCTGTTGTTAAACATAGTCGACAAGAAATTTATACACGAGCAACCAAAGAAGATGCACCAGGTGAAGCAGAAGCTGGTAAAGAAGGTGGAACTGAAAAGAAGGAAGGTGGTGGTGGCAAAAAAACTGGCAAGAAAGCAGCTAAAGAAGCAGCAGCCGCAGCAGAAACCGCAGCTGATGACGCTTAAGCATAACAAATATAAAATCAAACATATTATCTATAAATATAACAGCAACAGTTTGTTTGTTTTTTCTTGTTTTTGAAAATAAAACATAAGAAGAAGAAAAATATCAACAAGAAATTAATGTAAAAAAACACTGAATTCTTTTTTCAGATATGTCTGTAACTTCAGCTAATAATTCACAAGCGAAACGAAAAGAAATCTATAAATATGAAGCACCATGGATGGTCTATGCTATGAATTGGTCGATTAGACCAGATAAACGTTTTCGTCTTGCTCTTGGATCATTTGTTGAAGAGTATAATAATAAAGTAAAAGAGAAAAACTTTTGTCAAGGATATATATTTATTTATTTTTCAGGTACAAATTGTTTCACTTGATGAAGATAATTCAGAATTTGTCGCTAAATCTACATTCGATCATCCTTATCCAACAACGAAAGTCATGTGGATACCAGATACAGTAATTATAAACGAAACAAAAGAATTTCATAATTGAATCTTATAATATTTATTTTATTAGAAGGGTGCTTTTCCTGATTTACTAGCGACAAGTGGAGATTATTTACGTGTATGGCAAACAAGTGATACTGGTACTCGACTAGAGTGTTTACTGAATAATGTAAGAATTCTAAACTATAAACAAATATTGAGAGAGAGGTGATCAAAATTTAGACTAGACAAAATTGTTTCTTTTTTATTTAGAATAAAAATTCTGATTTTTGTGCTCCATTAACATCATTCGATTGGAATGAAGTTGATCCCAATTTAATTGGCACATCAAGTATTGATACAACTTGTACAATATGGGGTCTTGAAGTAATTATTAAATAGTATTATATATGTCTAAGAATTTCCTTCTTTTTCTTTAGACAGGACAAGCTATTGGTCGAACTAATCCAGTTAGTGGACATGTTCGTACACAATTAATAGCTCATGATAAAGAAGTTTATGATATAGCATTCAGTCGTGGTGGTGGTGGTCGTGATATGTTTGCATCAGTTGGTGCTGATGGTTCAGTTCGAATGTTTGATTTACGTCATTTAGAACATTCAACAATTATTTATGAAGATCCTCAACATCATTCTCTATTAAGACTTGCATGGAATAAACAAGATCCAAATTATCTAGCAACATTTGCTATTGATTCAATGGAAATTGTTATTCTTGATGTTCGAATACCTTGTACACCAGTTGCTCGTCTTAATAATCATCGATCAGGCGTTAATGGAATTGCTTGGGCACCACATTCTGCATGTCATATTTGTACTGCTGGTTTGTATATAAATATTCAAAATTAAAAGAAAACAAATAATGTTTTTCGTTTTTAGGTGATGATCGACAAGCATTAATTTGGGATATTCAACAAATGCCACGTGCAATTGAAGATCCAATACTTGCCTACACAGCTGAAGGAGAAATTAATCAAGTACAATGGAGTACAACACAACCAGACTGGATAGCAATTTGTTTTAATAATTTTCTCGAAATATTACGTGTATAGTTTTGTTTTCTCTTTTCTTTTCTCATTTATTGTAGACTAGTCTATTGTTTTATCACTTTATATACATATAATACATGTTCAGATTCATTTCTTTATCTTTACTAACTGTACAGTTCTCTTTCTTTCGTTCTTTCTTTCTTTTTTTTGTTTTCCTGAATGATGGAAATCTCTCTTCCGATATATTGCAGAGCTTGTTTCATTTTTCTTTTTTTGTATCAAAAAAATGGAATATAATTCACATTAAATATTAAAAAGATGGCGTACGGAATATGATGAATCTATTTCTTTTGATTTAAACATCATCATTATAAAGGACAATTTTCTTTTTTGACAAACAACCAATCATAAATACGTTTTGTTTCATTGAATATATGCAAGAGTGTATGACAAACATTGTATTGTATGTCATTTTAGATTTTCCTTCTCTATTACACACATTAAACTTCTATTATGTCTGGACGCGGCAAAGGTAAGTGATGTTTTGGAGTGAAATGAAAAGAGTTTTACACATTTAAAGTTATTGTTTAGGTGGAAAAGGTCTTGGAAAAGGTGGTGCTAAGCGTCATCGTAAAGTTCTTCGTGATAATATTCAAGGTAAGTTTATGGATAGTAATGTAGTTTTAATAATAAGTCGATGACTTTTTTTATTCAATATAATGATTTTTAACGAATGTGATTTCATTCGATAGAAAAAGGGATGTGTAGTCTCGATTATCAAGATTCTGATTATTATATACGTGAGAAAAAGTATTGATTAAGTAATATATGATAGATTGAATTGATGAAAAAATACTCTTATCATATGTATATTGATAGTTATGACATACAATTTAAAATACCTAGGATATGTATACTAGAACCCTAACATTCGTAATCAGCGTGACAAATTGCATACAGTTATATGTGTTTATATAAAAAAAAAGTGATTAACTATTTGAAGGACTTTTATCGTCAATTTCTCCTTGGTTACGCCCCTAACAGTAATGAACAAAAAAAGACGAGTTTTGTTTACGTCAACACCATAGAGATGTATAAAAAGAAAAGTTTTACAAATAATCAAATTTTTGTATAGGTATTACAAAACCAGCTATTCGTCGTTTGGCTCGACGAGGTGGTGTTAAACGTATAAGTGGTCTGATCTATGAAGAAGTACGTGGTGTATTGAAAATATTTTTGGAAAATGTTATTCGAGATGCTGTTACATATACAGAACATGCTAAACGTAAAACTGTTACAGCCATGGATGTTGTCTATGCTCTTAAACGTCAAGGTCGTACACTCTATGGTTTTGGTTCATAAGAAGAATACACATGAGAATGGAAAATATATCAATGTTTAATGTTGTGTGCTAATACTTTAATTATTGTAAATTTTTTTTCAATGGTTCCTGCTTTGTCTTAAATATCATTTTCTTCTGCTTTATCGTAATGCATAGAATTAATCATTTTCTTTTGTCTCTATATTTGCATATAATATATATAAAAATAACTAACAAAATGAATAGTTTTGTTCATTATCATCTTTAACAATTCTGTTTATTTTAATAACACAAATTAACAGACACAAAAAAATTATCGTTGAAACAAGATGAAAAGTTCATAATGAGGTGTATGTGGAAATAAATCAACAGCTGTTGATGTTATTGCTTCAAATGCTTCACCTTGATAAGCTCTTGATCGTGGACGAGTTAAACTAGACAAAAATAAACATTTTTATGAAATAAAATAAATTATAAAACTTACTCAAGGAGATTATGTGTTGCTAATTGTGGATTACATGCAATATAACCTAATACTTTAATATTTTCAGCGGAACGTAATGTTTGGATTACTTTTCGATCTGATGGGAAAAAAAAGAAATGAGGGTATTATTAGTTTTTTTTGTAAAGAAATACTTACGAACACCAGCACGTGGTGGATCAAGAATAGCAACAAGTCGTTGATTTTCATATTTATTTACTAATTTATGAATCACATTTTCGATTTTATCAGCAATAAATTCAATATTATTAATATCTAAATGGTTTCATTGAATAAAAAGATATCAATATTAAACAATAATTATACTTACTGTTTAATTGAGCATTACGTTTTGCATCCTCAACAGCATCTTTAATCATTTCAATTCCAATAACTTGTTTAACATTCTAAAAAAAAACAAAATGATTTATTTTTCACAAAAATTAAATCGATTATTTTTCCTTACATTAGCTAATGTTATACCAATTGTTCCTGTTCCACAACATATATCCAATACAACAGTTTCATTATCTAATTTCATTGAATCTTTTATTAAAGAATAAAGAACTTCAGCACCTTGTGTATTAGCTAATAAAAAAACATATAATTTATTTAAAATTAATCATATAAAATTTTACCTTGAAAAAATGCTTTAGGTGATACATGAAATTGAAAATCAAATAGTTTTTCAACTATATACTAAAAAATAAAATAAGATCTTATAGTATTGAATCTGGGCTGGGCGAGTACGGACTTTCTCGAGTACGAGCACGGGTACTATTGTATCGAGGGTGACTAAGAGTTTTTGCCCTGGTTGGTAGGGGGAAAATCTATATTTAAACAGTCGAAGCAAGAAGACATCAAGAATTCATGTCATCTATGCAGCACATAATCACATAGTAATTTTTTATGAGACATAATTAAGAACTCCAGGATCATATCCTCGAGTACGAAGAAAAATCCATTCGAGTACGTGTACGGGTACCAAGCCCTCCGAGTACCAGCAAGATCGTACTCAGGTACGAGTACTTTGCCCAGCTCTGTATGGAATTATCATTAATTACTATCACAGTGTACGAAGAAAACATCAGTTAAGCTAGTCGGAAATTTGTCATGAATATCTTTTTATATATCTGTTAATCAAGGGCCTAACTTCGCTCCTCTGCTTTTAGAGTTACGCTCCTCCTGTTAGTTTTTTTATTCGACATCGAAATTTATCCTAATTTAATTATAATCTTACCGATTCACCTAATAAAATTTCACTTTGAATAAGTTCATTTCCAGCTCTGTAAGAAAGAAAGAAAGATCAAACATTATCACATTAATATTTTTAATTTACTTATTTTTTTCTACATTAAAAATTATATTTGTAACTTTACAAATACTTCCATTATTTATTGTAAAATAATTTAATAAATCTTTTTTTTCTTGTTCAATTTCTTCCTATAAATAAATAAATTTTATTTTGTTAAAAAATTTTATTTAACGAACAGATGTTAATTGTCCTTGACAAAATGCAATCATAAGTAGAAGATGATTTAAACGACTTTCTCGTACTGTTAACTGTCTCCAACAACCAAGATGAGTTTCAGCTGAATACCATGGAGATGAACGAGATCGAATAAAATCTTGAAAATGCTATAACAAAAAAAGTTTTCTACAAATCAAAAAAAATTCCTTTCTTACTTGAACAACAAGTTTCATTGAATCAGATACATTTTTACAAACACTTGGACTACCTACACGATCAATACCAGAACTATATTGTCCTATTAAAATAAAATTTGAAATAGGTATTTTTTGATTTTATAATTTACCATAACGAAAACCAACAACTTTATCTACAAAAAGAAAAAAATTAAATTTCTTAAAAAACATTTTTAATTAAAATTTTACCTTCACTATTATTTCCTTTTCCACATGAAAATTCACATTTATTTCGATATCCATCAATAACAGGCTAAATATTTTTAATTATTTATTGTTAATTAAATATTTAAACGAGATTCTTACAGAAGGTTTCACTCCTTCAAAAGGTATAGTAACAGTTTTGGAACTAAATAAAATCAGTTTGTTTTTAAATTTTAATGAAATAAATAAATAATTGTTTGTACCTTGTTTCTTTTATTTTTTGTTCAAGTCCTCTTAAAAATTCTTGAACAATTGTAGTTTTTTTTGTTAATTGTTCTTCATAAGTTAAATTCCAAAGTGGTGTAGCTGAATTTTGAATTCTAATATTTTATATTTAACATGTAAGATAAAATAAATAGATAAATAATATTCATACTTGACTTCATCTGGTAAATCAGATTCTATTTCATTATCAATCTTTTGATCACGTCTATTATCATCTAATTAGCTAATGTACGAGATGAAAATTAAAAGAATATATTTTTAGTTACTTTTCTTAGCTGGTTTTGCTCGAAACATAATATCAGTTGCTGGTTTAGCATGCTAGAAAAGTAGATAAATGTAAAATGTTTATATAAGAATAGACTTAGTCAACTAACCGATACTTCAACTTTATTTCCTCGATAACTCCATCCAGTTAATAATTTCATACCTTTTTCTCTATCTTCTTCATTTCTATTCGATAAAATCAAATAAAATTTTTATATTATTATCATTTGCTTTTACCGAAAATTAACATAAGCATGTGTAGCTTGTTGCGGTACTTTTATTTTAACAAAACTAACACCAAGTTGTTTCAATTTCTTCTTTAAATCCTAATTATGAATAAGAAAAGGGCATAGATTTTACCAAATATAATAAATAAAATTAAACTTACGCCAAAACCAAAATATTTCGGAAGATTATTTAATTCAAGTTTAAATCGTTCTGATGTATATTCATCTCGGGCGAGATAACCTTTCTCTTCAGATTTCGGTTCAGTTGATGATTCAACGACTTCATCAGTTATGAGTTCAACAATTTCATCAGTTACTGGTGTCTCTGCTTCTACTTCCATCTAGAAAATATATAACCACTTCGTACAGCTACTGATTTTCTCGGATGTTAGAGTATAACAAAAACTGTGAATATATTTCTAAATAAGATGGCATCTCTAAGAATACTTTTGGAATTAATCTGCATCATTACGTGAGCTTTTTAATTTATATTTTTGAATTTCTTCAAATTTCAAATCAATGCAATAACTCCGATCATCTATGACTCATTCGTCAATTCATTACCACCAATCATAAGAAGGCGGATAGAATCCACATAATTAAATTTTCTCATAACGTCCTGATTTCTTTAACATTAATGAAAAAATAAAGTTTTAATTATTTAAAAAATGTTTTAATTTCGATTATAAAAACTTTTTTCGTATTGGTTTAGAATATCGTAAGGAAAAATATGGATTCAATGAGAAAAAAAAAGAAAACAATTCCTCCATCTGAGATAGTCTTAATCGTTTATTTAATTGAGAAGTTTTTTTTGATTTTATTTTTTGACAATTTATTTCTAATTTTTAGATCCATCATATCTCGAATTTAAAATTCACAATGACCGATAAGTACGTTGAAATTATTCGTAAGCAATTTTTATCTAATTATTTTCTTTAGAGCTAAAAAGATGGACACTTCATCAACATCAACAACGGCCAAAAAGGCCATTCCAAAAGTGCCTGAAACTTTATTGAAAAAACGTAAACTTTATGCCGATATTAAAGCAAAACGTCTTCGTGGTCAAGTGCAAGCAACAAAAGTAAAATATAAATTTTTCTGATTAATATTTTTGTTTTAATTTTCTAAATTTAGAACAAAAAATTCAAACGTTTAGTTATTTTCAAACGAGCTGAAAAATATGTTAGTGAATATCGTAAGAAAGAACGAGATTTAATTCGTCTTAAACGTTCAGCTAAAGTTCGTAATAACTATCATGTCGATGCCGAACCAGCACTTGCTTTTGTTATTCGTATTCGTGGGTATGTTTATATTTGTATAGAAAAAGGCTAAATAACAAAAATCTTGTTTTTTTCAGTATTCGTGGTGTACATCCACGTGTAAAACAAGTTTTACGTTTATTTCGTTTACGTCAAATAAATAATGGTGTTTTTGTTAAACTTAATAAAGCCACCGTTCAAATGTTACGTATTGCTGAACCATATATTGCATGGGGTTATCCAAATTTGAAATCTATTCGTGAACTTGTTTATAAACGTGGTTTTGGCAAAGTTAATAAACAACGTATACCATTATCTGATAACAGTGTTGTCGAAAAATCTCTAGGTAAAAATCATAGATAGAAATACTTTAAAATGAAAAATATGTATGTATATATGTAGGCAAACAAGATATCATCTGTTTGGAAGATCTTGTTCATGAAATATTTACCGTTGGAGATAGTTTCAAAAAGGCAACAAACTTTCTTTGGCCATTCAAACTTAATAATCCAAAAGGTAAGAAATTTAATTATTTGATCGATAGGTTTATTAATTTCGATATTTAGGTGGCTGGCGTAAGAAAGCTAATCATTTCGCTGATGGAGGTGATTTTGGTAATCGTGAACAATATATCAATCAATTGTTACGTAAAATGGTTTAGACGTGTTCTAAATATATTTTTTTTCACGTTCTATTCGATTTTTCTATGCTCATCTTCAGCAGCATGAGAATAACTAAATAAAAAAGAAAAGAACATCGTTGATATGTTTTCAATTATTTTAACAAAATAATTATCAGAAGAAAATGAAATATTATTGATTTCTATTTTATGTCTGAAAGAGCGCGAAAAAATTTAGGTGCACTGAGACTCTTTTTTTCTAAATTCAGTACAAAAAAGGACATATCTTTTAATTGATTTGTTTCGTGTATGAAGTGACATTATTAAAAAAAAATGGGCTCTCACAGGACCTGCATTTTTTGACACTGTTTCAAACAAAAAAAGAAATATCTTTATGCTCAATGAAGGTCCACAGAGAATTCTTGCACAAAAAAAAATGAGCTACTTTGTACCCATATTTGGTGATTATCTTCGTTCAGACATATGATAACCGTCTAATAGTTTCTTCTCATCAGTACCAACAAATGCTGAAAATTTCATGTTTATAGCATCTACTTTAATTTTGCGATTAGAGAATTATTATTCATCAATTAGAAATAGTGCGAGAGTAGAGGTTAACTTTTTCACAAATATGAAGTTACATAACAAAAACTAATGATAGTAAAATGTTCTACCGAGAAGTATCTACATATGGAAAATATGTAACATTTTATTATTGATTTAATATTGGAACGAGAGTAATGCTCATTCTCGTCTATAATAGGATACATACAGAAAAATAAATTGCATTACTTCGATCCGAGATTTCGTTCGCATTACTCTTTAATTCATTTAAATGTTTCAATTATTGCAAATATTCAAGCACGAAAATGACACTAGCGAGATTTTTTCGTAATCTTATTAAACTATATACCAGAGTTAATTAAAGACTTGTAATTCTTTGGATTTAAAACAGGCTTTGTTTGATTATTAATTTAGTTCGCAATGAATAAAATACAGTTGAAATATTTAAATTTTGTTGTTGAGTATTCATCATGAGTGCTATCCAAATCATCAGATTTCTAGGCTCGCATCCTGTAATTTAGTGTCTATTACGATAAGTAATAAATTAGGTAAACTGTTCAGCTTATAATTACTCGCCATTATTTACTACTCAATCGATCAAACTTCATTTCTATGAACAAAGTTAAATGGGTTATACTAATTGTTTGATTCTGATTCGTATAACATTATTTAATTGTGTTAAGAGAATATAATAACCATAAGAAGCAATTCAACGTTAAGACTAAAGCTATTAGTATAATATATTACACATAACAATGAACTAACATTTATAGAGAAAATCTAATGTAATTATTGAATGTTTAAGATACATCGTAGCATGAAGTAAACATGTCTATTCTAATAAATTATTGAATCAGTATGTAAACTTATGCACGTAATTGAAAACAAAAAGATCAAATTTCTGATAGCTTCATTAACTTTGATTATATATTCACATGACAAACTATTATGTGATCGAGGTTTTAAATAAAATTAATGTATATTGAAGAAAAAAAATCATTGCGAATTTACAATTTGCTTTATTTTTATTTGAAATTGAAGAATATTTCTTAAGCATGTTTAAAAAGAAATATACAAATTTATTAACATATTATATAATCATGGCTTTTTGCAGGAGATTTTGAAAAATAGATTTCTTTGAAATATTTTGTTGTGGACGTTTTACAATATAAACATATTCTGTTGGTTCATTTAATGATGATTGTTTAGATTGATTCATGGCTCGTTCTTCTACTCGTCTAAAGTTAAATATCAATAGAAAATCATTTATATAATGTGTTGTTTTTTTACTTTTGTAAATCTTCGATATCAACAAGGATTGAATCTTGTTCCATACTTAAGGAATCTCTTTCGATTAAAAGATTAACTAATTCATCATTATTCGCTTAAATAAGAAAACAAAAATAGGATATTAAATATTTTCCGAATTCTTTCAAAATACTTTCGATTAAACAGTATAAATCGTTTATAATCGCTTGTAATTGACCAATATTCATTTCTTCAAGTATATCAATATTTAATGGCTTGTCAAGGTTCGCATTTATACCCATCTTTAATATAAATATTAAATATAAAAATAGAACTCCTATTTCATTGAAAACAATACATACAAGATCATAAAATGACGATCGTTTTTTATTGAAAGCTTGCCGTTCAAACTCAACTTGCATTCGAGCCATTTTTGCGCCTAATACAATAGCAAGTTTTGCTTCTTCCTAAAATAAAACATAATTTTTTTTGATGCCTTTTCTAAATAAAGATATACGTACTTTAAGTTTTAGTTGTTGTGTAAAAATGTTTGCATTTGCATTCGCCATGTTAGAAGAATCTGTTTGATAGTGTTCATCGTCAAGACCTGTTATTAAAGAGATCTTATTACTTCTATTCTTTGCCATTAGAAAAATAACTATTGTGATGGAGGAACAGTTCTTATTTTCTAACAAATACTTCCTCTCTGTTCTTTTATAGTATGTGTCGAACGTCTTTTTCTCTTAATGGATCTATTCTTAATGTCATCCACTTTTTTCTTCACATCATAAATAATAATCTAAAGCCTTGCCATCATTTAGAGCATTAAGATAATTTTCCACTTCGTTCTTTTTTTTACCGTTCTGATGCGTCGTGATCAATGTATTGTTGACATAATCATCATTTTCACATTCCGAATCATTATCGATTATTTCATTACGTGCCTTCACAAAAAAAAAAGGAAGAAGAATTAATTAATCAGAAAAACAGAAATGTATTTAATTATTTATATTTATCGAACGAGTTATTTATATTTTTAATCTTACTTACTTGCAAACATTCGTGCCATTTCCAACGAGTTTTTCTATATACCATAATCGGGAATAATACTGAAAATATTCTATTCGACAAGTGAGCTTATTTTGTATTTTTATCATCGATTGCAATTCTTTTCCCGGAAAAGAAAAAGGAAAAGAAAATAGAAAGATTTCTTTTTTTGTTTCATTGTCATTCTATCAGCATCGTCATTGTTGTTATCCGATCAAAAAATTCGGGGCTCGATGATGACAACAACTAGCGCTTTTGTCATCAGATTGTGATCAGTTTTATCATGCATATGTCAACATCTTATTTTGAATTAGCCCTGAAGAAATATTCGAGATTTTTGTTTTAAAAATAGTAATAAGGATTCAATGTACTTAACAGACATCTATTTATAATTTAAATACTTACTTTTAATTCTAATTGAGAATTATTTAGATTATAATCAAATTGTATCTTATCATTATAAAGATAATATATATATAAATCCATTGAAGGAACGAGATATGTTTAAACTACAAGTTTCTAATTGAAAATGAATGAAACATTCATGTCCGATATAAGTGATGAGAATGAATGAGAGATAAGAGATGTGGAGTTTTTAATGGAGTAATAATAGTAACATTGTTCAAACAAAAAAGAGAAAATGATTATGAACTCTATTATATACGTAATAATGCACTAGTGTCTTTTTTTGTGTGCAAATGTAGAATGATTGACAAATACTATTATTATTGAATAGATATCTTCAGGTGTTATTAATTTTTCTTTATGTATAGAATTTAGAAAGTTGAATATTATGTAATTATATATTTTGATAATTCCATTTCGTTGTCTGTCAGTTGAATTAGGTGCGTCATTAGCAGTTTATATAATAATATGTGAGTTATAGTAACATCAACTTGTTAAAACCTTTCATCAAGAAGAGAATGGATCTCATGTACAATAATCTCTATTACTTGGTATTATAAAGCAAGAAATTCAAATGGAAAATATTATATTTGATAGGATTTAGAAGCACGATGTCCGTAAGAGATTCTCTACTTTATTATTTATTTATTAATGTATTCCTGTTAAAAGAACGGAAATAGTTTTGTCTCATATTTACTCAAAGCAAAACAAAAATGAGGCATGTCATAAGGAACACATCTGTCATTCAGACTATTTTTATCAAAATAAAAACGGAATTGTAGTAACATTATCAAAAATATTTATCTTATTTTGAATTATAAATATAAAATTTAAATATAATTATACGATATTAGTTAGATATAAATAAATAATTTGTCATTTCTTTTATATACATAAGTCAATTTTGATACACTGAATGACTTGTTCAATGGTTATTCTTCACACCAAATTAGTGAATACAGATGGCGACTGATTTCTATTTTCAACCATTCTTATGGCCTCTATATTGACGCTACCCTCGATGTGCTTACTAGTTGTCATCATAAATGATAGTCTATAGCTATTTACTTCCTTTCAGAACGGCAATTTCATAATAGTTTCTTCTTCCAAATCATTATTGTTTTTATGCGATGTATGTGACAGCAAAAAATAATTTTAAAAACAAGCCATTAGTTTTACAAATGTGTGTTATCTGTGCGCATTTAACACAACGAATTTTAACACTACGATTTTTTGCTGGAGTTTTGACAGGCATCCTTTTCACAATAATTTTTTATCATCAAAAAGAATCTATTGATAAACCAAAATTTCGTCCTGATCAATCGAAATTTGAATATGAAAAAAATCAATTACCATCAGAACAAATTGACAGAAGTGAATCATCCTCATCATCATCCATATGGAATAGCTCATGGGATGGGTATGATTGATTATTTTTGTTTAGAATAAATATTTAAATGTATTATTTTAGTTTAAAAAAGATGAGTACTTATCCACGACATTTATATTTAATTCGACATGGTCAATATTTTGATAATGCTGCAAGTTTAAACGAAATGAAATTAACAATACTTGGTAAAGAACAATTAAAATATACTGGAATGCGTTTAAATCAAATGAATATACAATTTAATCGTCTTATTCATTCTGGTATGGTTCGTGCATTTGAAAGTGCAACTATAATTAATGAACAACTTGATACAAAACTTCAATTAATTAAAGATACAAATTTAACAGAAGGTTTACCTGTTGCACCTGTACCTTACGCTGGAATATCTCAGCGAGATGCTGATGTAAGAATGATTATTTATAATAATACGAAAGAAAAATAATAATAATTATCATCTTAGGCTTATGGTGATAGACCAAGAATTGATACGGCTTTTGCAACTTATTTTCATCGAGCACATAATGATCAACGTAAAGAAACACATGATATTATTGTATTTCATGCGAATATTTTACGTTATTTTATTTGCAAGTAAGTTTGTGTTTTCTAAATAAATAAGTTAATAAAAATTCTTATTAGAATAATGCAATTTCCAATTCAAGCATGGTTACGAATAACATTAAATCATGGCTCAATAACACAAATAACTATTCTAAGTGATGGAAGTATTGTTATGAAAAGTGTTGGTGACAGTGGTTTTATTCCATCAAATAAAGTGACATTCTAAATTATATTTATTTTTTTGTAAAAAAATCTTGTTATTTTTTTTCTTGTTTGCATTTAAAATGAATGCTGATATGTAAAATTATGTATTAGAAGGTTTTGGTTTATTTTTAAAATATATGTATATGAAATGATATAATAAATAATTACTGTCTTATTTTACTCTATTATCTATCATAATAGATGAAATCTTAGAAATGATACTGACATATAAATATAGATTAGAGAAGATATTTATTTTAGGTGATATCGCGCATTGAAATAAGGAAATATTTTTATCTCATTTCTCGGTGATAGAGTAAAGAATTCTTATTTTATATTATCTTATTGGACAGGTTAACAATAATCAGAATAAAGTGTTTTTAAGATTTACATTTGAAATAAAAGAAGAAAAAGAAACAGAACGTAAGATTTCTCTTCTCTTTCTTTCTTTCAAGATAGACGAAGTCATTGTCAAGGTACATTACAAACTAATGGCAACATAACAACAGAATAAAACATTGATCAGTACATTACACATGGATGTCAAATATATAGGTGGTGATATACCTTGGACCCTTCCATTTGGTGATCATTTTAATTCATCAAGCCAAGCATCATTAAATAATACACATAAGAATAGTAAAGAATTGTCAATTAAAAAACGAGAATTTCGTTAATTATTTTGTTTTAGACCTTCTTTCAGCAAATGATTTAGAGGAAATTGCTCGTCGATATGATTTTGAACCATTATATTCATCGGATAAAAAACAACCTTCAACAAAATTTCCTTTTGATAATGATAATTTACAATGGATGAATGCGGGCACTTTCTTTAGTGATAAAACTATTGAACCACAGTTAACTGGAAATGATAAAACAGGTTTGTCTAGACTTCCGTAAAAATAATTACGAATAATATTTATGAATTATTTAGATTTTCTTGATAATCATGGACATACATTTTGTTATTTATGTTCAATTAATTATCCTCATCAACATGAACGAACGAAACCTCGAGATCACTCACAAGTATTAAATTTAACAACAAAATAAAATCTATTATTTTAATTTATTTAGAGACGAAAATTAATTCCATATAATAATCCAAAAGCACTTAAAACTCGATCAGCATCTATAGATCGATCGGCTTCGAGTTCATCATTATCAAATTCAATTCCATATCGATTTATTGTTCGAACTAGACCGGGGAAAAGAAGTGGTACACGAGCACAAGTATAAAAATGAATTAAAATCTTTTTATTAAGATTGATTTATCGTTTTTCTTTAAGGTATTTTTATATATGTATGGAACAGAAAATGATTGGACTTCAATAAATTTACATGCACGTACAAATCAAACTACCGATGGATTTCCAAGTGGTTCAACCCGAACATTTTGTTTTAAAGGACCTGATATTGGTCATCTACATCATTTAAATGTTAATGTAAATAAACAAGTTTTTTTTATTTATTTATTTATTTAATATTCGTTTTCTTTAGCTTGTTGGTGCTCGTTCAGATAAAGAATGGTTTCTTAAAGAAATTGAAATAACGAATTTAAATACATCTGTAACATGGTTATGTGAATTTAATTGTTGGTTACCAAAAGTTGGCGAAGAAAAACAATTTCATGTTAAACCAACAATTAATCCTCAACGAGAAATTCCAATCGAGAATTTATCTGGTAATATTAAATTTGAAAAAAATCATTTATTTTGTTTGTTTAGTTTATATTTTACAAGTTCTTACTGGCGGAAAACGTTTTGCTGGTACGGATTCAAATATTCAAGTAATAATACGTGGATCAACAGACCAAACACGAAAATTAGCATTGACAAGTAATAATGCAAATCTATTTGAACAAAATCAATTAGATACATTTGCTATTGTTGGTTGGGATATTGGTGATTTATCAGAAATAACGTATGAAATTTTTTGATCTTTAGATATGAATAAATTTATTCTTTGATTATCCTCTAGTGTTGAATCAGATAAAACTCAACTTGCTTCTGATTGGGATTTGAAAGAAATGATAATGTGGAAAATATTACCTAGTGATAATCATAAACTAACTCAGATCTATTTTCCTTTTAATAATTGGCTTGGGACAAAAGAAAGTAAATTAAAAGCAAAAAAAGAAGTTTATCCAGTCATTGATCATCATCGAAGAGGCAAGTTATTTGTTTTTTTTAATTTTACTGATCGATTAAATGATAATATTTTTAGGACCGATATGTTATGAAATTACAGTTAAAACTGGAAAAGACTTTGGTGGTGGTACGGATGCAAATGTATTTATAATTATCTATGGAGAAAGTGGTCGAACTGTAATTCATGAATTAGATAATTTAGGTAAAAATGATTTTGAACGAAATACAACATCAGAATTTACAGTAAGAAATATTTGTTAAACGTTCATTAAATTTATTCTTTTAATATAGATTATGGATCTAGATGTTGGTAAAATAGATCGAATAAAAATTTGGCATGATAATTCTGGTGTTGGTGCTGCTTGGTTACTTGATAACGTAACAGTTCGTAAGAAATATTCAACATCTCGTTCAATAACTAATATATTCATTCAACGACTTGAACAAATCAGTACTGTTTTATATTATCAAATTCTTAAACAAGTACAAAAGAGTCATAGCGTTCGTACATCAGATCGAAAGAGTGAACATTCGAATGATGATTTAGATAATAATCGAAGTATTTTACGTAAAAATAGTTTACATAAAAAAGTTACATGGGATGAGAATAGTATTGGTTCACAAGAAGATTTCATTTCAAATGATAAAACACGAATGAAAAGTAAACAGACAACAGTTGAACAAAAATCTAAAAAAGATGATTTATTAGCACCAAATGAAGCTGGTCATTTTGATCATCAAGCATATTGGATATCTTCTCATTCGTATATTGATAAAAAATGGCAAATTAAATCAATTGAAGAACAAAATTCATTTAATTTAGAACAATCAATACGTTCTTTACTTTTATCAGATCGTTCAACGATAAGTAGTAAAATAAAAACACCAATCAATGAAAGAGATGATGATATTTATGAATTTGAAGCGAAACGTTGGTTAGCAAAAGATAAAAATGATGGTAAAACTGAAGTATACTTAACACCAAAATCTATTCAACTATCAACTCATACTAATACTGAAATGAAAACAAAACCAAAATCATTAGCTGATACATTGAATGATACACAAAAGAAGCAGTTTACTTCATCATCAAAATCTTCTTCGGAGTTACGATATGAAGAAGAACATTCGAAACGTTCATCACAACATGACCTAGGATCATTACAAAAATCACCAAGAAGTTTAACATCATTAGATCGACCACCACAAGATACAACAAAAACAAAAATTGATCAATCACATGAACTTAAACGATCTTCTAGCACATTAAAACGACAAGAAGAACCGTTTATTGATAAATATCAACGACCATCATCACCTAATCAACATGCAAAATCTCCACGTGATCATCATGATCGTATTATACCATCAGCTAGTGAACGAGAATTATTAGCAAGAGTATCAGGTGAACCACCATATCATTCGCGATCCGCAGCAACATCTTTACTTGATACTCGTTCATCAGATTTATATAATCAACGTTCTAAATCACCTCGGTTAAATAATGAACCAGCCAGTCCATTGACTAGTAATCGAGATCAATCAGCAAGAAAACCATCTGAATTGCCGCATCATTCTCGACCAGCAGCAACATCATTAATTGATACTCGCTCATCTGATTTATATAATCAACATTCACGATCACCTAGATTGAATAATGATCTAACTAGTCCATTAACTAGTAATCGAGATGTACCATCAAGAATGTCAACTGAATCATCACA